GTACTGGGGATTGAACCCAGAGGGCTATTACCATTCAGTCACATCCCCAGGCCATTTTTGAGACAGGGTCTCGCTAAGGTGCTTAGGGCCTATGCTAAGTTACTGAGGTTGGCTTTGAACTTGCAATCCTCCTGCCTCAGTCCCTCGAGTTGCTGGGATTGCAGGCATGTACCACTGTGCCTAGCACATTTTCCTTTTTTCTGACAGGAAAACTACTGGATAAATTTTGCTAAGCTTCTTCAAATATGAAGACCAAAAAAAAAAAAGGTGGTGGGGGCGGCAAGACCAAGCAGAAAAATAGCATCCAAACAACAGTAGCTGTTTGGGTTTAGAGATTTGACTATCAGAATTGTCATTAGCAAAAATGAGGGAACTCTTTGCAAAAGAACTCTAATTATCCCTTCTCAGGAAACCATCAAAACACCATCACACCCGTGAGTCTCTCACTGCTAGAAGGAATCATTGAATGCTATCTTACATCGCTCTGACAAAGGAATAAAGGGCAGCAACAACTACCACCACAAATTAATTACTATTCCTAACTTAATGGAAAACGCTTTTCTCCTTTAGGGTATTTATTAAAAGTTGAACTTGGGAGCTAGTTATTTCTGATGAATAATTACATGCTATCCTCTGCCAATGCTACTGACTGGCACAGCAAAATATGCAATAATTTTAGGTAAAAACAACAGACCTGGCCTCTCAATACCCAAGGGTCAAAGAAGCATCAGAAGAAAGCAGGAGAAACACTGAGGAAAGGCAGAGCAGGGAATATCACCAGCCCCAACAAGTATGTTTATCAGGTAATAGCCCATTAGGTTTCACCCAAGGATGGTGCATAAGGAACTAAAAGATGATCGATCGCTAAAGATCTAATATCTCCCTCCTCTACTCCTCCAATTTCTCACTAGAATGAGGCTTTAAATATGTTCATTATGGTATGAAACACCCCCCACCCAAGTTCTTTTTGGGGGGAGGAGAATGAAAGATATTGTATTTTTTTTTTTCCAAATGCTTTAACATTCAGTCAGCCCATCTTCAAATGCCAACCCACACAGTCTCCAAAATGAGACAGCAAGCCTCCTGCCATTCACAGTCACCAACCTACCTTGCAATTCACTTAATTAATTCATCAGCTATGTGGGTTTGTTTTTCAGCCTGAAACTCCTTGTCCAGTTACAAGCCAAATGCCTTTCAAAATCCACACCCGCTACTTGCTCCACACCCTGGCTAAGGTCCCTTGAAGAAGCTAATGAAACATTTGTAGACAGACTGATACTGCCTTTGTGAGAGCCATGCTACCGAGTCACAGAGAATATAATCACATGAAGCCTTGGTGGGGAGGGAAGTTTAATGGATAACCAAGACTATTTGATGGAAGAAACTCCAGCAGGGCTTTCCACCTTACAACAGATATTGTGAAGTGTCTCATCATTTCCAGGCTAAAAATGATTTCGATTTAAGTAACCCACCTCTAACAAATGGTTTAAAGTGGGTCTCAGCCCGGTTTCAGAGACCATCTCAAAATCAAATGTGCATCGCAGGAAAAACGAAACTCAAATCCACTCAGGACACAGAGTGAAACTGGCAAAAGGAATCACTGCATTTGGCTCCCTTCCACCTGCCCCGAGAGTCAAGAGTTAGGAGAGCCAAGCCGTGATGACAGATGGTGGCGGTGTGGATCCGGGGGAGCCTCGCTGGTGGTCAGGATCTGCAGGGGCTGCGCCTCTATGACCAGGCAGGCACTCATCCTCTGCAGTCTGCACCGAGGCCACGGTTCAACACCTCTCCCGAGCTTCCACCACCACCACCCATGACCCAGGCCTGGTTCAGTAGCATGCAGGAGTCGAGCATGTGAGGCAGGAGCTTGGATCAGCACGAACCACACAAAGAAGCCATTATTGGGGGGAGCGACATAATATATTGTAACTGCTCCCATCAAGTCAATAGGCATCGTTTTCATGGGTCTGTTAGGATTTCTCCCACTTGAGGTTAGAAGGACTCCCATTTCAATGAAAATAGGAGATTCCTCACGGATAGGATCACAATTCACCCACGGCAGCTGCCAGACACCACAGGAGAGTGCCAGGCTCTGCACAGAGCTGATTTTGTCTCTGGGCAATTCTTCCGTTTGGTAATTTGTCTCCTCTTAACCAAGATGAGCAAGTTACAAATATAATCAACTAGATTTCTGAACAAGCGATAGATACCACAAGCCATGAATGCACTAAGAGGACGGCTCGCTTACCTCTGGCTCTGGCGGGAAAGTTTGTTCATCTTCAGTGGAGTTTGGTAAAACGGCCCAGGTTATGTTGGCACTGGCTGATGGCAAAGAGCCAAGTGTCCCATTTTTCAGCTGCTCTGTGGAATGTGACTTGGGCCCATGCCATCCCAGGACGTTCTCTGAAATAAAGACCTAGAATGATGCCAAGTATTGAAAATATCCAAATGAAACTTATAGCTTGTGAAATAGCGCTACCTCACCTGCTTAAAATGGGCCCAGGGTAGCACAGGGTGGGGTTTGTTTGGAATGAGGCACCACGACAGAGATTGTGATTGTGTAATTACCAGCTCATTTCTGTTTAATACCAGGATCAGAATCATCAATTTGTTGTTTTTTGGTTTTTTTTTTTTTTCCAAACTCTGGGCAGAAACATTTGTTTTTACCAACACCAGATAAAGACGTTTTTCTTATGCATTTTTTCAAATATACATATATACACATACACACACACACACACACACACACACACACACACACTTTGTGTGTGGGCTAGAGACTGAACCCAGGGCCTTGTGCATGTAAGAAAAGCACCCTACCTACTGAGCTATATCCCCAGTCCCTATATTTTTAAATATTTATGATAAAAGCCAGAGGTCAGATTTCATCAAAGAGAGGCCACTCTGAATGTGATTTAAATGCCATTGGCCATAATCATCGTGGCTTAGAAAACATGCCTGTGGTGGTTTCAAAACACTGTCCCAGTCATCAGACATGGCCCATGTACCGCACGTGGCAGAAAGCCCCATCACTCCTCGAGATCAACATTCATTCTATCAAGAATTTCTACAAACACCTTTCTGGTAAACCAAGAGCATTTTTACAACCTCCTTCAACCTCTTAGAGGAACAAGGAAAGACTTTTTTCTTCATTAGTATTTTTTAAGGGTCATGTGTTAATACAGACTATTTTTCTATGCTCATTAAGGGGACAGGAGTAGCCAGAGACAGGCTTCTTTACCCCTAAGCAACTCCACCATGAGAATGAAGAGGCCTCCCTCTGAGCTGGTTTGCACTCTAGAGGTTGTCCTCTGTGGAGGATCATGGGTAAATGAGAAGAGAGGCTGAAACAGAGACTCACCCATGTTGAGTTAGACCTTAACCTTCCAGGACCCTGGGAAATTTTTAGGCAGAGGAATGATATGATCTAACTTCTATTTTAATAGGATAATTTAGATACTGTTTTGAAGGGGGGAAAGCCCTTAAATATAACAAAGGTGACGGCAAAGATTTTGCTATGGGGAAAATGATGACTGGTGTTATTCAATCACGTGTATGTTATCACTGCCTCCTCCTGTAATTTCTTCTGGTAAATTAAATATATACTATTACCAAAAAAAACCCTTAACCTTTTAGGGTCTCAGGTGTTCCATTCCTAAAGCAATCATATTCTGTAAAGCCCTTGGGCTGGAGTTACTCATAGAAAAATTTACAAGTATCCCAAACTTTTAACACCCCCAGGGAATCTGGTTGGCGGAAGCAAAATAATGGGGTAGGTCAAGGGCTGCAGTGTGAGTACACATGTGTGCCGACCTGTACAGCACTATCCATCCCAAGTACATTTTTATGCCCCCCTCCCCAAAAAAGGTCTTTTTAATATCAAGTATTGGATCACATAACTCTGCTGCTTAAGACTCAAGTGGTTTCCCACCACAACTGAAATAAAATCCAAACTGCCTGGCTTTCCTCTCCAGCCAGAGAGCCTACCAGCCTCACTTTATTCCCCTCTCCCTGTGCCACCAAGCTCCAGCCACACTGGTACTTTTTCATTCTTCGAATAAGCCAAATTCATTATAATCTTAAAGCCATCATACATGCTGTTCCTTCATCCAGCCCTGCTGCAGGCGGGAAGTGGTCTTGTGGGTAAGCTGACGGTCAACTCAGCATCGCTTGCTCAGAGAGGCCTGCTGGGACCCTTCCAGCCATAGGAGAGCGGTCCTATGGCTGCTGACTCTCTTCACAGGACTCACTCATCTACTTCTGTTATTTCTCTCTCCTTTCTGGAATGCCAGCTCCTTGAGGGCAGAGACAACAGTGCCCTGGGCTCATGGCTGGGATTCCAGTACCTAAACATGATCTAGCAGAGTATGTGCCTTCTACATATTTGATGAATGACTGAGTGACTGTTCAGACATTCAGAAAGCAAATTTTACCAAGAGTGAATTCCATAACCACCTAAAAATAGAAAAATTTTAAACAGCAGAAAGTAGAATTCTGGTTCTGGGGCTGGAGAGTGGGTGGGAAGAGGGAGTCATTGTTTGATGGATACAGAGCTTCTGTTTTGCAAAACGAAAGAGCACTGGAGATCAGTCGCATAATAGTGTGAATCTATTAACACTACCAATATGCTCACACAAAAATGGTTAAGATGGCACATTTTACTAACTTTTTTTCCCCTGTGGTACTGGGGATCAAACTCAGGGCCTTGCACATGTAAGGCAAGCACTCTACCAACTGAGCTATATCCTCAGCCTAACTACTATTTTTTAAAGGACAAAAAAAAGTGGGGTGGGGAGAGCGTGATCCATATAGCAGCCCATGAAGTCATTTAAAAACAGGTAAAAACTCCAAATACTAAACCCCAAGGCTACAGGTACACGATCAGAACATAAGAGGACTCTTCAGAAATAATGGAGTCAGACTAAGAAAAACAAGCCAGGATTTGAACCACCAGAACTTACCATAGAAGGAGGGACACTTCTTACCTGTCCTGCTGGCTGACTCCAGCCTCAGAGACCCAGAATTGGATTCAGACCTTAAATATCGAACAGCTATTCCACAAATATAGGAGTACTGTTTTAGAATTTATTTTGTCACACAAGTAGAAAACAACCTTTTGAACAAGTTAGGAAATCTTAAGCAGATCTAATCCCCACCCCTCGTGCTGCTTAAGTACTCAGGAAACTGTTCTTCATTACTCTGATTTCCCAATTGTGTCCTTCCCTCTCCTTCATAACCATCATCCAGAAATGGCAATCAGGACCCAAAGGGGTGGTGGTGCACTGCAGCCTGGGATAGACGACATCAGGGCATCATGGGTAAAAGCAGCAGTGCATGCTGGGAACATATTTTCTATGTTACTCTATGGATTCTAAAGGCTTAAGAACAAGTGAATGAGAACAGGAAAAAAGCCCATCTCAAACCAGTCTAACTGCTCTTTAAAAAAAAAGATCATGGGTTTAGAAGTACAGATAGACGTCCAGATAGACCTGACTTGTTTGGGGAATGAAGTAGAAAAGTTACAAAATGAAGTGAATGAAAAGGACTGTACAGAGCTAAGGAAAAGAAATATCCTCCAAAAGCCTTAGAGAAAGACTACTTCTGAAATTTCTAATAATGTAAACTGTCAGAAAACACCAGGAAAGGCGTACCTCAGCACAATACAGAATAAAGCAGCCTCTGTGAAACAAGAACAGAGGGAGTCGGAAGAAAACAGACTGAGGTAAAAGGATGGATGCATCAAGGAGTAAGGAAAAGGAGATGAAATCAGCAGTCACAGTGAAGATTAACACTAGAATCAGGAAAAATTACAATCAAAATCTGTAATAGAATGTCAAATAAGCAGGGCATTTAGATAAGGAAAGTCTACTCAGGCACAAGTCCAAAGGACACAGACAACAGTCATGCACAGGAAACAATAGAG